TTTATTACAAGACAAATTATGCTGTGAGACCTAGAAACCTGTGGTATAGGAAGACGACTTATAGTGTTAGACTCAAGTTATAATTTTAAACTAGTCCAATGATCATGAGACTCAGTAATTGTATAGTGTACACAGACCCATTTCACTTAATCAGTTGATTTAGAACCTTTGGTAAACATATTACTGCTGCCAGACAACATTAAATCCACATATTATTGCTTAATTGTCGTCTTCGTACTTCAGTTTTATTACTGTCACTGTGTTAGTATCACGACGGGATAGAGAAATCCTTTCGCCATTTTTTTCCACCCAAAATTTCGCATTCTTTCGCATTCTGTTTGTAGAAAACAATGCGAAAAAACAGTGGAATTATTGACATTTATTTACAAAGTCGTTCTTCTTTTCATCAAAAAATAATTTGAAGGATTTTATAATTATTATTTACTATAATGAACATTTCAGACATACATGGCTACCCACAAGTTTGAGATTTCAAGGACGACCTAAAATAATAAAATAATTTTTATATAAAGCCAGAATTTTACTTTACGCCTAATTAGACAAAGAAAGAAATAAGTTTGAATAGAGAACCCAGAATATTAAGAATAGTCTGAGTTTAATCGTGCATGGTCGTCTCTGAAGTCTCATCCTCTGTATTTTAAATATATATATTTTGTTTTTTGTTTTTTAATATTGAAATATTTATTTCTTAAAAATAGCTTAAGTTTAACGTTCCATATGTTGGAAACATCCAAGGTGGCGTTATCTTTTTTTTACATAATTTTTGTGAATTAAACACATTTTAAAGTTTTTATGTTTTATAACGCTTTAAACAGGTTTGGGCTAGATTACATGACAATTTTCCAAAATCCAAAATCGATTAGAAAACAGTGATGATTGTGTAATGTGTATGTATCATTGCAAAGGGTGGGTTACTTGAACTTCTGTCTACAGTCCCTTTATGAGCTTCAATTATACTATCAACTTATCAAGATTAGAGGCGGAAGGTTAAGAGACATGAGATAAGAGAAGGAGCCACAATCTTAAGACAATAATCGGGCTTAATGGATATTAATGACCCCCCCCCCCCCCCAAAAAAAAATGTATTATCCTCCATATTTGGTAAAAATCAAAAATTTCAATAAGAGGAATAAGAGCGTCTGAAATTTTGTGCACATACATATTAGCAGTACCAGGCTTCGCTTTCATTTGAGCCTTATTCTTAATTGAGAGTAAAAGGCAACGATGTTTTAATGTAAAAAGTATGATAATGTACGCAATCCTTTACTAATCGCACGCCAGTACATATTACTTACGTGCAGGTCTGGTACTGCACCACTTTTAAATGTCAATCTGTGTAATTGCAGTTAGGGTCGACATAATGGTTTTATCTTACATTAAAACATTAAAACATTTTTCAAGTTGTATTCTTTTCAAGTTTTCGCTATTAAACGTTTCAATATTTATCCAAAGGGAAAAAAACGAAAAACCGAACCAAAAATCGATAATTTTAACTCTTTCGTTCTTTGCAAATAGTTTAGAAAATCTTTAAAATGAACAATTTTCGAACCTTTTAAAAGTACAGGTTGTCGCACGAAACATGACAGTTGGTAAATAGTTATGAATGTGCTCTTTCACATACTTTATTAGATATTAAAAAACATCTTTTCTAAAACATATTTTACTTTGAAACCAATTTTACTATGGCATGACTCCCATATAATATTTGTAATATTGCATAATTAATATATCAAACAACTTAACAAATTATGGAAGAAGACATTCTAAACTATTCACCAACTGTCATGTTACGTGGGACACCCTGTATAAAAACCCTGAGAAACGAACCAACTTATTGTAGAATGTAATGTTAGGTTTATGAATAAATGCCACACATTATCATATTTCGTGGAACACCCTTTATAATGCAGATACAGCTCGTCCCATGTATCATATTGAATTATCTCCAAGCATTAACGCTAAAATACGCACATAATACTCGAGAAAATTTTCATATTAGCCTTAAAATTTATCTAATTGATTTATAAATTCTAAATTTTCAGATTAGTCCCGTAAATTTTAATTTGAAGCTTTTAACAATTGCAAACTAGAAAATCCTTAACAATTTCATAATTAAATTAAATAAAACACGGTACAAGGGCGTATACAGGTGGGGCAGTGTCCCCACCTAGACCTGTAAAGGGGCGGGGGGCTTACCCCCCCCCTAGAACTCATAGCTATCACACTTTTCAAATCTGAAACTGAAGAGTATTGAAAAAATTTATTTGCTGTTTTATTCCTGCTAGTTTTGTTTGCAGGAGAGGTAAAGTAATACTTGTAAGGTAATTGGACTGTATGTGTACCTTTAAAGTATCCAAGAAGCCAAATTTTGAAATTACGGTACAAATTTTGGCCCCCCCCCCCTANTATGGCACTTGGCGTATACTTTGCCCCCCCCCCCCGCCAGATTTATTACTGTATATACCCTTGATTACTACAATCATTTCACAGTTTGCACAATGAGCGCTAGAAACTGAAAATATAGAAATAAGAATAGAACGGTAGCAAATGTTCCGCACGTTTCTGAAAATTATTCATCCACTAATGAGCCCAGACCGTACTTGGATTGTTGCTGGGCTATCAACTATTCATACTTGCTTGTATCACTGGATATCGTTTTTGACATGAGTAATTGGAAATAACTTCGTTTCGGAATATTTTAGTTCATATGTAAACGTTGGTATATTGTTGAAAATATGTTGTTCATTCCAGTCTTCTAAAATTTTCTAACTGCAGGATAAGCTCAATTTTCTAAATTTGTCATTATAGCATTGCAGTAAAAGGGATTGTCGACCTTTTTCAGAATACTCATATTACTGTTTTTATCAAGTAGAGAACAATTAAGCGTGTCGTATTGTCCAAAATGCTTTGTAGTCCAAAAATCTACATTTTCCTAGAAAACTCCGGAGAGACCAGGTTTTGCTTGAAACCACTTTATTTTTAAATTCTAAAAGGAACTGTAGAGTGTAGACACAAGGCGGAAGACATCATAGTTTTCTGTTCAGAAAAGTATTAAAGTTTTACATTTTCTTTCATTAACTTGATATGAATAAATCCGCTTATAGTCACATTTTTTTTAGAGAAACCACAATTGTGGGGAAATACAGTGAAACCCTTAATAACGAATACATCGGAAAAATTTATCAAATGTCGTCTTGACAATTTTTCAATGTTTATACTATATTACGTAAATTTCAGTATTTGCGAAAATAAATAATTAGCCATGAACAGTTTTAAAGAGTTTCATATAATCATTTAATTAAAAAACTAAATATCTGCAACATTCCATTATCAGAAAGTGAAGAATACGACATTTGATGAATTCTTTCGATGTATTCGTTATTAAGGGTTTCACTGTAGGATTTTTCATATTTTTGCTTTAAGACAAAGGTGTTTAAAGGGAACCAGTACAGTGATGATTGTGTAATGTGTATGTATCATTGCAAATGGTAGGTTACTTGAAATTCTGTATAGTCTCTTTATGAGCTTCATTTACTATCAACTTATCAAGATTAGAGGCGGAAGGTTAAGAGACATGAGATAAGAGAAGGAGCCACAATCTTAAGACAATAATCGGGCTTAATGGATATTAATGANAACCTCTGGTATAGATTACCGTGCAATTGTTAAACTTGCTTCCAATGCATCGTCCGCCTGCCTGGCAACCAGACCCATGCTGACAGCTTCACCTGCTGTTACAAGTCGCCCAGTTAACAGTAGCTCAGCTGCTACCTGATAAATCAATCTTACATTTACAAAGACGACATTTATAAAGTCATTTTTCTAACCTGGGGACCCGCAAGTTGTGGTAGAAAATGTGTTGCGGCCATTCCCGGATGTAATCCTAACTTTTAAAAAAATAATCAGAATGTTGCAGTTATAATGGTATCCCCGAAAGCATGGGGGGAAGGGGGAGTGACATTGATCTAAAATATTAACCCCCTCCCCACTTGGCATCAAATAGAAACATTATCTGAATATGAATAGAAAAAAATTGATTTTACTCGCCACAAACTTTATACTGAATATACAGAATTACCCACAAAGGATGAGACTTCAGAGACGACTGCCTAGGTTGTAAATTATTTCCTGCAAGAGTTAATTTTACTTTTTAATTATGTCATTGTGTTTTGTGCAGATATAAGCATTAAAAAATTCCTGTAAAAGTTTAAAGGAAATGAGTTTCTGCCACAAACTCATTTTTTCCCCTATAACTTTGTAACCCAATGTCGTAGACTTTGATATTTCAAACTATAAAATCTGTTACATCAAAAAATAAGTTTGACGTATCAACGATTTAATCTGTATACAATACTGTAAACAATGTGACACATTCTTCAGTGATTGATCATTTTTTGGGAAATGATCGGTTATTTAATGCTGTAGTTGAAGCAGATGTTATTGTAGATGTAATTATTGATGATATATGTAAAAACTAACTAAGTTTTTATTTTTTATTTTATTTTATTGTTTTCGACTATATATTAATTCTATATTTTACATGTTATATATCTCATTTCTCGTTGATTTTAAATTGTACCATTATAATTGTGTACGAATAAATAAATAAATAAATAAATAAATCTATTAGGTTGCAAAGAGATTTGGATTAGAAAGCTTGAGTTTGTGGAAAAACTCATAAAACCTCTTTGAAAACCTAAAATTCCATTTTCTAATTATTAAATCTTAAAAATGTTTAACAGTCAAAATCAGAAATTCGTTATTAGATTTTTGAATTCATGAATTTGAAATCAAGTAAATATTTATCATAAAAGTTTAGCGCAGGAACAGATTTAAAAGAAATAAAAAAGTACATTTCGAATTTTTAAAATCTATTAACATCAAAATAAACATTAGAATTTACACAAAAAATAATAGAGAAAATTACTTATTATTTCAAAGAAATAATTTTGAGAAAGATTCACAATTAAACAAATAAATTGAAAAATTAGGTTACACTATCTTTCATGGATTTAAAAAATTTCAATTAAAATAATTGATTTAATTTCAAAAGACCACATTTTTTGTCTTCGAAAAATCTCCCCTTCACTTAATGTGGAAGAAGAATCAGACTTTTTCAAATGATTTAAGAATTAAATTGTTTAGGTCAGCGCGGTTAATTTCCGGTAAAAACCGGTTTTCTCTTCTCCTGCAGTGCCGTTACTCCCTCCTGAAAGTATTACAAAAAATGAAAGTTTGGTTGAAAAAATATTTTGGCGCCTTTTTGATCAACATTACTGACATCTGCGATCCCTCAGCAGAGGGACGTTAAATTACTTAACGTCCCTTAGGATAATTTAGTAAAATAGAACTCTGCTATGAGAAGATTTCGAGAAAAAATTCGCGCATTATAATTCAAACTTTGCATCATCATATTCAAATATTTGCAGATTTTCATTTAAGTTTAAACCATTGTGGGTTACATCCAAGGAGCATGAAATAAAAGGGAGATACAACTGACGCGGTCCCCCCTACCAAATGATTATACAATATATATGCTTTGCAGACGGGTACTCCATTTGTAAAAGAAGTATTCAGAATAGGTTATTATATACGCGTTTATTGTAAATCAGACAAATATATCTTATTCAAATAAAGTATTGTCTGCAAAGCATGTAAAATCATATGGTAGGGCGGGCTGCGTCAGTTATATCTCCCTTCTATTTCATACTCCTTGGTTACGTTACCCTCTCTATATATATATATATATCTTAATAATTTATAGATGAAAATTTGACAGTTTAACTTTTCTCGCAACTCGCCAAACAAAAACTCTCTAAACAGAAATATCCAAGATAGAGACAATAAATGATGTCAAATCAATTTTTAGATAAATACAACAATTTGATCAATTGAAATTACCTTTAAATCTTGGGAGGGGTAACACTCAGCCTGGGCTGTAGCTTCCCTCCTGAATTCAGATAAATTTTTTTTTAAATTATCAAAACATTTTATTCAGCATTATTTTTTTTATATTGAGTAAAGGAGACTCTGATAAATTCTTTACATACAGGGTTACCCACAAAGGATGAGACTGTAAAGACGACCCACAACTCTAAAATATGACGTATTGAAGCTTGCACTCAATTGAGTATTTCGATGGTTTACTAATTGATTAACCACAGAAATAACCCAGTTTCGGTCCACAAGGAACCCTAATTGCAAGGAAATGGACTAAACAAATTCCGTTCCATCATCTATGAAGTCTCATTCTTTGTGGGTAACCCTGTGGGTCAAAAAGGGTACTATGTACAAAGTACATTATACAGTAAGAACCAGAAAACTGTAAAGTAGGAAGACGCCATTATAACACAATATTTACGCTGAATTTGATGTTGTTACAAACCAGATAGTTTGACTATAAGTAGCTCAAAAATCATTTGTACATTGTCAATGGATTTTTAACAACAAAAATAAATCAATGGGGGTGGGGGCAAAAATGGAAAAGCGCAAATCCCCCCTTCCCCTTTAGGAGCTCCTAGGGGGAGGCAAAATTTCAACTGTAAATTCAAAAAATTTGGCATAAGTATGAGATACGTTAGATCTGTTAGAATTTATAAATTTATAAATAACTTGATTGATTAGTTTATGAATTACCTGTAAGCCTGGTCCAGCCCCAAGTCCTGTTTCGACCTTAAGGTTTCCAAGGTTGTACGTACTGCTATAGGAGCAGAATTACAAATATCCCTAGAAGCAAAATAACGTCAAAATATTCTCAGAATAACGGTAAAAAAAACGTCAAAATATCCTCAAAATAACGGTAAAGAACGTCAAAATATCCTCAGAATAACGGTAAAAAACGTCAAAATATCCTCAGAATAACGGTAAAAAACGTCCAAATATCCTCGGAATAACGTCAAAACTACGTTAAAGGGAATAAGGAATAATTTTATATTTCGGTGGCTCCACAAAACAAATTTGTATGTCAGAATTCATCTTTAGCCCTGATCGATGCCTGCTAAATCAACTAACGCAGGCCTAATTGTTTTCTGCTATTGTAGTCTGGCTAGTTAGTAGGTCAGAAGTTCTGTAGAGAGGATGTTGCGTATAGACGATGTAACATTACCCTCAAGTCTTATCTTTAAACATTAAAAAGGATCTTTAGAGGCTGGATTTAATGAATAAAAAGAGAAATAGGTCTCTGGTTTGCACAAAACAGACTAATTAAGTTTAACCAATTGTAGTTCAACGACTTCTAGCTTACAAAATCCAACCTCAGGGGCCAAATTAAAAGAATTTGAGCCGCGTCTTAAAATTTGAGAGGCGGCTCTAACATATGGTTGGTTCCACTTGATATTTTATTCCGTGTTTAATTCGAGATTTGAGCCAGCGCTCAATTGGAACCGCTTTTTGGCGGTTCTGCGACGCAGTTTAAGTTCTTCAAATCCAACCTCTGGTATAGATTACCGTGCAATTGTTAAACTTGCTTCCAATGCATCGTCCGCCTGCCTGGCAACCAGACCCATGCTGACAGCTTCACCTGCTGTTACAAGTCGCCCAGTTAACAGTAGCTCAGCTGCTACCTGATAAATCAATCTTACATTTACAAAGACGACATTTATAAAGTCATTTTTCTAACCTGGGGACCCGCAAGTTGTGGTAGAAAATGTGTTGCGGCCATTCCCGGATGTAATCCTAACTTTTAAAAAAATAATCAGAATGTTGCAGTTATAATGGTATCCCCGAAAGCATATTTATTACATCCTGGATATTGATAAGATGCAATAATTGATCCTTAGAATCTATATTAAATAATGATGCAGATATAAAACTTCTTTCTTGAGATATTTGACAAGGATGATGCAAGTTTAATGTTAAACCTTAGTAAATGTTAATCCCATCTTAGCTTGGGATGATGCAACTCTAATATCTGCTCCTCCCAAAGCCAGGCAGAATCCAGCTCCTTAAAAAAATGGATTGAAATGTTTTATCATTTATATACTAACACAATATAAGCAATTTCTTTGATTTTGTTTTAATAAAGCAGATATATTGGAAATAAACATATTTTGTCTGTATGCACTGTACGTATAACTGTACAATTCCAAGGTTTCATGTTAATTGGTATATTTTAAATTGTAACTTAAGTCGTCTTCCTATCCTACATTTTAATGGGTCTCCTTAAACATACATGAGCACTGAAACAAAAATCATCATTTTTTAGAATTTAATCGAATCAGATAATCGACTTTAACTTCACATTGTTGTATATATGAGTTTGTAGAACCCCAGTAAATTCCAGGGATATGTATAGTTGTCTACAGGTCGCCTAGTTAGCTAGTGTGTACACTGTACATTTACAATGGTTTAATAATATATAACAGTACAGGAGTCTTGAGATTCTAGCCTAACATACAGTAAAATAATCAAATATGCAGTACGCTAAACAGGCGTATACAAGGGGTGGGGAGGGGGGGGGGCAGTGTTGGCTCTAGTCTGCACCCCTGGATTAGTTAAATCTACGATTTCTAGGGGGTTACAGACTTACCCAGATTACCCCTCTGGAAAGAAAAAAGTCCCCGGAAAATTTCCTGTATATGCCTCTAAGTAAAGTATGATTTTTTACATGATGATGACCCTTTATAAATATTATACCTACTGCAGCACCATTTATTGCGGCGATTATAGGAACTTCCAATGTTCGGAGAACAAGAAATCTTAAAACAGACAATTTGTTGATTAGGGATCTTTGTTGAAAATTAGAAAATTTTGAATAAAATAATTAACACGTATTTTGTTTAGTCCCGTACTCGTTTTATATTTTATTTTGATCTACAGTTTAAAAACTCTAATGTTCAATTTCAAGTAAGTTCATTGATGTGGCATGTCTGATAAACAATGGTACCCTAAAAATTTTGTCTGATCAAGTATGAATTAGATATTCATGGCTGTTGTTTTTAAAAACTGATGAATATGCGGCTTCTCTAATAAGCTGCTATTGCTTAAAAAATAAAAAAGTTATCAGAATCAAATCAAGGAAGACGATATGTTATCTTCCACATTGTTGATCAAATAAATTTATTAAGGGTACCGTTGTGAATCCAGCATGCTTTTTTTACATAATGTAAGTCAAGTGTACTTAAAGATTTTCTTGAAAGTTGTCTTACTGTCCTAAAGCGGAAAGCTGTGTTTATTCCTGAATGTCGTCTTCGATTCACCTTTGATAAAATTGTTGCATAATCTGAATATTATTGTCTGGAGTATCCCTGTGCCTTTGCAGTAACCAATCCAGGTCCCCCCCTAGATAGGGATGGACATTGATTTTAACAATAACAATAACAAAAACAAAAACAAAAAACAAAAAACAAAAAACAAAAAACAAAAAACAAAAACAAAAACAAAAACAAAAACAAAAACAAAAACAAAAACAAAAACAAAAACAAAAACAAAAACAAAAACAAAAACAAAAACAAAAACAAAAACAAAAACAAAAACAAAAACAAAAACAAAAACAAAAACAAAAACAAAAACAAAAACAAAAACAAAAACAAAAACAAAAACAAAAACAAAAACAAAAACAAAAACAAAAACAAAAACAAAAACAAAAACAAAAACAAAAACAAAAACAAAAACAAAAACAAAAACAAAAACAAAAACAAAAACAAAAACAAAAACAAAAACAAAAACAAAAACAAAAACAAAAACAAAAACAAAAACAAAAACAAAAACAAAAACAAAAACAAAAACAAAAACAAAAACAAAAACAAAAACAAAAACAAAAACAAAAACAAAAACAAAAACAAAAACAAAAACAAAAACAAAAACAAAAACAAAAACAAAAACAAAAACAAAAACAAAAACAAAAACAAAAACAAAAACAAAAACAAAAACAAAAACAAAAACAAAAACAAAAACAAAAACAAAAACAAAAACAAAAACAAAAACAAAAACAAAAACAAAAACAAAAACAAAAACAAAAACAAAAACAAAAACAAAAACAAAAACAAAAACAAAAACAAAAACAAAAACAAAAACAAAAACAAAAACAAAAACAAAAACAAAAACAAAAACAAAAACAAAAACAAAAACAAAAACAAAAACAAAAACAAAAACAAAAACAAAAACAAAAACAAAAACAATAACAATAACAATAACAATAACAATAACAATAACAATAACAATAACAATAACAATAACAATAACAATAACAATAACAATAACAATAACAATAACAATAACAAAAACAAAAACAATAACAAAAACAATAACAAAAACAATAACAATAACAATAACAATAACAATAACAATAACAAAAACAATAATAATAATAATAACAATATTATAATAATTATACCTGCGCTAAAAGCTTTCCCTGCTCCTGTTATTATAGCAGCTCTTTTCAAAATATTTTTATTGATTATCATTAATTGAAACAATTTCAGGCCTGGCTATTTATTTTTCTTGTAAACGATTAAAACAATTATTATTATTATTACCAATCAACCTACAGGTTGTCTTTACAAACTCTAGAACCATACATTTTAAAGGAATACTAAAGACTTAAGATTGTACTATAATGTTACTACAATTGGTACTACAATGGTAATACAATTGGTACTACAATTGGTACTACAAAATGGTACTACAATGGTACTACTTTAAAACATTTCTCTGACCAAGTATGCATGCGTCTTCTCTTTAAAAACTGATAATTTTAAATTGTAGTTTCTATTAATTAGAAGTGACGTGTAGGCTAAAAATGGAGGAAATTGTGAGAATTAGCTAAACAATTACGACAATATACATTAATAATCAGTTAAAGATTTGTAGGGTACTGTTGTGCATTGGGCAATGGCCATGCCCTTCTATAAATAAAGGGTTTCTTGAAACTGGAACAACAGTTCCTTTAAACAAAATAAAATATTGGAAATTTTAAAAGATTTTCCTAATTGTTTTATTTTTGAGCTCGGTCACGTGAGCTGTGAGCTGGTCCCCCATTGGTTCAGTCAGGGCGTTTAGTTTACTCGGATTATTCAGGGTTATCACGGCGATTTTCTGGTCATCTAAACATTTAGAGACTAATTTAGAGACTCAATCTGTAATGTTCTAATCCCTACAACTTTGCAACCTGATGGTGTGAAACTTTGAAATTTCGAACCCTCAGTAGCCAATCTAAAAAAATACAGAGAAAAAGCATATAAAATGTCGTCTTGATATTAAATAGGATGAGAATACGACATTAAAAACAACTCTTGCTATGTATTCATATATCTGGGATTGGCTGTTACAGAATTCATAGTTTCGAATATCATGATATCAGGTTCCAAAGAAGAAGGACAACATTTGTGTAATAGAAAGTTATTCAAAGTTATGCACACATATATATGTGCAATGTGTATTCATAATGCTCGTGTTATATATGTCAATATATTTATGTAATTAGATAACAATAATGCTTGTGTTATATGTGTAAATATATTTATGTAATTAAATAACAATGAGGCTCGTGTTATATATGTAGATATATTTATGTAATTAGATAACAATAATGCTCGTGTTATATGTAGATATATTTATGTAATTAGATAACAATAATGCTCGTGGACGTGATATATATGTCAATATATTTATGTAATTAGATAACAAATGCTCGTGTTATATATTCAATATATTTATGTAATTAGATAACAATAATGCTCGTGTTATATATGTAGATATATTTATGTAACTAGATAACAATAATGCTTGTGTTATAGATGTCAATATATAACACGAGCAATAAGAATTCCGAGAAAGGACTCGGCAATCGGGAAGCGAAGCCTTCCCACCAATCCCAAGGTACCTGCGATGCTTAATTATTAATTGTGTATACATATATTACCTAAAAAGTTTGATGTTACAAGATCCGATTTCCCTCTCTCAGAAGATCGTAGTAAACATCTAAAAGACATAAAATTTCCAATTTTTGGCTTAACAGCAAACATTATTCTGAAAGAAAAATATTTAAAATTTTCGTTTTAATTATCATTGGGTTTTGGGTGGGACCGGGGAGGGCCGGGGAGTTGGTGCTCAGAACTCGTTGGAAATTGAAAAACTATAGATTTTACTGACCCAGGGGCCAAATGCCCCCCATTTCCCCCCCCCCCCCCCGCTATGTTTCTGTACCCCTAAGAAATTTATATTACTGACAATTTCACGGTCATACTCATAACAACAGTGTAAAGTTCACAGTGCACTAAAATTAAAAGTATGTCTGTACTGTATAAAATACAGAGGTTATGGAGTGCAAAGAAAGCACTTGTAAAAGCTTAAATACGTAAATGCAGCCTCATAGGGTGGGGGGGGGGTCACATTTCTTACCTTATAACCTTCCCCTCTTTACTTTCGAACTTCATATCATTAAAGTTAGATAGACGTATATTTTAAGACCATGACATCCGTATAAATATTGATCATAATAATAACCTTTATTCATGAATGATAAAAGCTGTCGATTTTGAATTTAATATTGTGGAACTTTCTAAAAAAGATCTATGTCTTTTTATAAAAGATATGTTAATTTTTATTCATTGCAGTTGTTAAATATTAATTAAATATTACATTTTACCGTACATTTGTACTTTGAAATTTGAGTCCAAACTTTAAGCAAAAAAAGACGACATCCAAGATTGCGGGTGGTAAAAACATTCATGATTTTGTAGAAATAATTTTACTTCAGATATAAATTTCTTAAAAAAAGCAATAATTTTTGAAATTTCAGAAAATATAAATAAAAATTTTAAATCATAAATTTTTCTCGAAAACGAATCCCCGTTACCGCCCAAATTGCTCGGAAGACATGTTTGAAATTTCATAAGTTGTTTGTGAGCCATCCGGTGAAAAGGCTTTTAGGTAAACCCTACTATTTAGCAGTTATAAAGTGTTATTCGATGTTTAAATTAATTATTCGGTTTCTTTAAAGTTAGATTTTTATTTATTAGTTTTGTTTTCTCTTCCGAATTATCGTTATTTAACGAAATAAAGTGTTTTTTTCATCAAGTTTTTCTTAGCACGTTTTACGCTATTAATGGAGCTTACATGACAATTAGATCAAAATTATTGTTGTCTACATTTCATGGGGTTTGACTAGTTTGGCACACTTACTTAGGAATTAGATTTAATTAAAACTACATTTTGTTTTGATAGTGGTGACTTAATCTTAGTCATCTTTGCCACACCCGCCATTATCCCTATTCCGGATATAAAACATTGTGCAATAGTTTTTATTTATTAATTGTACTCTCTTTTATACTCATATTATGCTAATTGAATTACTTCAATGATGCTTATTAAAGTTATATTTAAATTTCTACCCCCCCCCCCCCCCCCCCCCCNATTTTTTTAACGATAAGTTAATGATTGAAAAGAAAGTAAAACAAAGGATTCGCCAAGAATTGTGGATCATGGATCGAGATTTTCAATACACTAGAAGGGGATAATAAGGATTTAAACCTTGTGTTTTTTGTTAATCCCATTTGTAAACAATATAGATTTATGTTTTTCTTTAACAAAAGTTGTTAGAAGAAGAAAAGAAGTATTTTATAAAATTAAACAAGTCAAAGATAGATTACAAGCGTGTAATTTTTTTTAAAGTTTATCTTGGTTCCAAACCGGATCTGGATCCAAAGCAGGATGCAGGCCACAAACACTTTTTAAGATTTATAGATTTTTTTAACAGGTATAAATGTGTTAATTGTTTTTTCTTTTTTTTTGGTTTATGTTCAATTCTTACACCCCTGGCTCATTTTCATGGGAAAACTTGATAAACCATTTAGAGATAAGAAAAGTTTTAATATTCTTTAATTAGTTAGCATTGCGTTGAAGGCGAAAGTTTTTAAGTGTTCGTAGTAATGTTGTCCTTTGTATCCGGAACCAGGAAGCCAAAGTGTTACGGATCCAACGGATCCTGATCCATTCACTGACAGGAACTGTAATATAAACATTAACAGATTTTCCCGGAAAGTACACCCCCCCCCTCATTAAAAATATGACTTTGTATGGTATGATTACTCAGCATTTTTTATTTGATTTTTATAAGTGAATTTGGTAAATTGAGTNCCCCCCCTCCAGTGACTGGAGTTGGTTCTTTGAAATTAATTCTTAAATTCCTAATTATTGGATTTAATTAGGGACTCTAATTTCAAGTGACCCTCCATCCAAAGATTTAAAACAATACCCAAGACACATTAAACAGATAATAATGTGGAAGATATCGTCGTTTTACTGTCTCAGTGTTTATTTCTGCGAGTTTCTCCATTGTTTTTATAAACAAGGAAAGCTCAAGTCACTGTCCATTTAAATGTTAAGAAGGGATTTGTGGGAGTCAAGTAGGAATTTGTATGTTCTGAAAGTAGTCGGTAGGTCTAAACATTTAACAACAGATTTTATAAAGGAAATAAATGAATGACTGCAAGATTTGCTAAATAAAATATGCACGATTCTTAGGAATTCTGCGCCCTAAACAATTTAATGCTATTCCGGTTATATTCCTGCTTTATTCGGTAAATTTTGATCTTATCATTTTTATCAAATCTGTCGTTGATTAAAATATAGACAAGGAAAGACATTTTCCGCTGAAAGTTTTTTCTTCATTTTGCTTATGGTCATTATTTGTGATTCTTATAAGTAAAAAAAATGTGGAAAACATATTTCCCCCCAATTATCATGTTTTTTTTTTAGCTTTTTCGCCAAAAAGTCTGATTCAAATAGCAGGTTAGTTGTTTGACTTGCGTCTAAGTTGAGTAGTTTGACTTTTAGAGGGAAATCTTGATTTCCGGGCAAAGCTGGGTTCCAAATCTTGTATATAATTATACAATACTTGTGCGGACAAATGTATTTAGAAGAACAAATTTAAAATTCCTTTTCTTTAAAATAGCTAAATCGGCATGCCGTGATTCAAAACTTAAAAAAATAATTTTTTTAATATTCCATTAATTTATTTCTCTTTGCTGTTATAAGACTTTTACACCCCCCTACTGACATGTTCTAATTTACTAATAAATACTAGGCCTTTAGGTCGCCCCCTTTTCTTCTCTAACTTTAATTAAGCATAAGAAATACAATTAAAAAAAAAAAATACAGAAAATGATTTTAGTTAGAAATGCATATTAATCATATTTCTTTGAACAGCCATTGTTTTCTTAGTAATTTAATTTCTTAATGTTGATCAACAATCATATGTCGAAAAGAAGTTTTCTTATTTCGTTTATTTTTTTTGATATGGAGAAATGCAATAAAATTAATTAGTTTTATTCGTAAGAAAATGGATGGTAAGTTTTAGTACTGAGCGGTTTAACAGATTTAGTGACGCAACATGTCCTTGGGATGCTTGAAGGCCTAACTTTCGGCCTGAGTTGCGCGCCGCGCGCATGGGTGACCTTGGACGCGCATCAAACCCTAGCCAAGGGGGGGAAAATGTGATCTTACATTCCTAAAAATCTGGAAAAATTATGGGAGCTTTTTACGGAAATACTTTTTTTTGCGAAATGGAAAAAGTTTTAATATCTTCAGGTTTTCAAAATCTCTATTCACATAACAGAAATCTATTTTTCATTAGTTTTTTTTGTTTCCTCTGCCTCTTTTTTAACTTCGAGAGTTCATTTTTTTATTTTGTATTTCGTATTCATAATTTCCTCCTTTTTTTGGCCATATCTTACGGTACTAAAGAAGTGTAGGTGCCCCCCCCCCCTGTGCTGTGGAATTTCAAGGACTTCTCTAGGTTTGCACAGTTGATTTTAGAACGCCGAGATATTCACATATATACATATATATATATATGTGTTACAGTTAACACTGCAGTTTTTTTACTGTGATTTTATATTTTAAGATATATATATGTTTTTAAGGAAACAAGGAAACAGATATGGTCCGTAAACTCCTTCCTTAAACATTTTTTAAAATTCACTTTATTTCAAGTAGAAAAAAATAGGTCTTCAACATAAATTCCTAATAAAGATGGGGGGGGGGGGGTGTTGTAGCGTACAGTTTGGGTGTCCGTAACTATACGGTTCAATGACCTCCCAGGTTTAAAATCTGCTTCCCGTTACTTCAGCAGTGTTAGTAGATTTTCACAGGAACTAACCGTAAAGGAAAGAAATTGTTTTGCAAGCTTCAAATTCATTCATTTATTCTCCACGTGTTAATGTCAACAGGGGAAAGGGTGGGGTGTGAGTCACAAAGTACGTATATAACAGGTTTGAGAATCTGAGACAAACCCCTTAACCTCCTCATTTTCCCCCCCCGCATCACCTCTTGTCCACTGGTTTT